GATCGCCCACAGGCTTGCCTAGAGGCTAATCTGACAGAACCATTGTCAACTTCATAGATGACAACAAACTAGCCAGCAAATGTTTCGTCAGAAATTAATCATGATAATAACAATGCAAGCCCTTTACTGACCTCACTGAGCACCTTGTTCTTGGTGTGGTCATAAGAACAAATGGGCAGAACTACAGACTTTCTTCTCAAGCATATTCCATAGCTTCTAATTAGAGGCTGTTCTGACCATGTACTTGGTACTCTTTGGTTACATAGTGAGCAAAGTGATGAAAAATATTCTGAGTAGCAATGAACAGCCTAACAAATGTGGTGTTTTGCCAAGCACCACAACATGTAAGAAGAGTGAGAGAGACTGCGAATGAGGTCAGAGCCTACCTTCAGTAATGACCTTACCTTAAGGGAAGGGGGGATTAGCATTTGAGATGAAGTCATAGATTTAATTCAGTGACTTGGCCCCAAAGTCACCTTCTGGTTCTTTGCTCTGGAGATTTATTCAGGGTGCAGGGTAGACCTGCCATGCCCCTCCTGTGTGGAACAGCAGGAAGTAGCATCTGGCAGGAGTCAGAAGCTCCGCCCCCAGTCATGAGTGGAGTCATGCCATGCTTTTCATCCTTTTCATTTCAGCTCAGGAAATGGATCAGGTTCTGGTTTTATTTGAAAATCATTTCCAGAAACTCCTACACAAGTAAGCAAGTAGCAGTACTCACCCCTGCCCATACTGTCTCCTTGCCCTTGCGTTTGCCTTAGAAATCACTGACACTAAAATTGTTCAGGAACTAAGACCTCCATTCTTCTACCCTCACCAAAAACAACTTTAACTGATTGGGTATGACCCAGAAACTTGGTTTTGGATACTGTTTTCACGGGTCTGTTTGTATGAGTGTGTCCTACTTATGAGGAGGCCTGCAGTGATCACGGGACTCCTTAAAGCAAAAATGTCAAATAACAGTACTAAGCAAGTTTCTCACTTTTGTTCAAGGAAGGAAGTGGGAATTTGGGTTTCCTGCTTATCAGAAATGAAGTCACAGAACACTGGAGTTAAAATAAATAATGGTGTCACTTAGTCCTTCTTTCTTCAATTATTCATGATAAACTGAGGCCCAAGGGATGAACTATCCCCAAGCTGATACTGTAAATCAAAGGGAAAATTACTACTGTCTCTGAAGAAATTTAGCTCGAAAAGCACATCTGTGAAATTTTTAGCATAAAATCCTCAATCACTGAAAAAGTTTCTCTCTCTCCTCTCTGTATTTCATACTCACGTACGTTATCTCTCTTCTATTTAGAGGAACAAAACCTCTCCAGTGTGAAAAACGCATTATGCAGCCTCCAGAGCAGAACAGCTATTTCAAACTCTATTGCAGATGCTGTTTCTGAATCTTAGAAATAGTAACCTCTGTTCTTCTAAAAATAAGAAAGATAAACTTAAAAAGTGCTACTGGGGCAATATATTGTTTCAAATGTACAGAAAAAAATATCTTTGCAGATGATGGGCCTTTTTGGAGTAATGTTCTTACAGTGACCTTTCTCTGAAAGCTCAAACATGATAGTTTATGTCTGTAGCTTTTGCAAAAGGCTGTGCTTCCTACATGCACTTGAAGTACATGTCTCTCATACATGTACTTGAAATACATGTCCTTCATACATGCACATGAAATACATTTCTTTCATATATGTACTTGAAATACATGTCCTTCAGACCTGCACTTGAAATGCATGTGCTTCATACATGCACTTGAAATACTGAGCACTTCAGAGGCTATTTAGTAACTACCTGGAGAAAAATAAGAATTGATTGAATTTTTTCTGAGAACATTTCAACTGTCTCTTCTAATACTACAACATTTAAGGCTGTCTCAGCAGTATAGAGCTATAACTACCAAAATCAATATTTTTGCCAATTTTTCTTTGTTTTTAATTAGTTCATCTTTTCTTATGAATTTAACTACAGTACTGTGCTGATACCTAGTATGTGCCTCCACCTGTGACTTCTCACAAATTTCTATGTCCATCTCTAGCTATATTCTTAATATTTTTGGTGTGGTATACTCTGTCATGCTCAGTTTCACATGTCTAAATCATAATTTACATTTTTTTACTTGCTGTCTGTAACTGTAAAACTTAGGGCCAAGATGTATTCATCATATTTCCCCCTGACCTGTTTTCTTATGTTTCATCCCATGTCTTCGTTTACTTTTTCATTAACTCACACAGTTTTCCTTAGTAGCTACTAGGTCTCAATTTTCTGGTAGTTTATGAGACGCAAAAACCAAGTATACACACTCATCTGAGAGAGCTCCTACTGAATTCTGAGACTTCTGTGTCAGTGAGTCACATAGCAGGATTTTGAGGCTTAGACACTGATAGACACTTGTGAATTGAACTTGGGGGTAAATACTTCAATTATGATCCTTACTAAAATTTCCGTTTCATTCATACCAGCCTTGAAATGGAGTGGGGTAGAAAGCTTTTTTTAAAAGATTTCTTTTATTAACTAATTTTCATTTTTGAAATTATACTATACTTACCTCACTTCCCCCTTTCCTCTAACTCCTCCCATGTACTCATTTTGCTCTCTATCTAATCCATGGCTTCGTTTTCTTTAATTGTTCACACACACACACACACACACACACACACACACACACACACACACACACACATTGAGCAGCAGAACTCCTAAAGGTAGAACTAATGCATTAGAAGTAGAAGTCCAGGCCTTTCCTGAGGTGTCAGAATAGAATGCTCTGCTTACAAACAACAAAATGCAAAATGTGTGTCTTGTTACCTCATTTAGTTGTTTGGTACATGATGAGAATTAGTATGAATCCATGCAGGGAGCCATTTAAAAGGTCTGGACTACTATAGGATTTTCACCAGTAATCTGCCACATAAATTCTGACTCTGGGAAAACAAAACAACATGACTTGTTAAATTCTCCGATAGATGTACACACTGAATTTTGACTATCTAGGCTTGCTGTCTCCTGGATATGGTGATATACACCTGATGTCATTATTTAAAAGGCTGAGGCAGAAGGATCACAAGTTCAAGGTCAAGCTGAGCAACATAGCCATAGCATATCGCAAAATGAAGAAAGGGGCTGCGAAAATACCCCAGTCCATACAGTGGCTGTTAGCAAGCATGAGGACCTAAACTCAGCCCCCAGGATGCAAGTTAAAGAACCAAGCATAGTAGTGTGCCCTTGGAATCCCAGCTCCGAGGAGGCAGAAACAAATGGATTCCCTAGAACCCACTAGCAGCCAACCTCACATACTATCTGCAGAGCACTGAGACTGTTGCAGAAAACAAGGCACATGGATCCCAAGGAGTGACAGTGCCTCTGGATGACAGACACACACACACACACACACACACACACACACACACAGGTACCCAAAAGCGTACACACAAGTTAAACAAAGAGAAAAAAGTGTTCATTGTTAACAGTAAAAGTTCCAAGTAACAAATAATTCTGTGTTCTTAAGGCTCAAGTACTGTTAAACTTTCTTGAGATAAAACCTGAGCTTGATATGAATCTTTATATGTTGGTGCTTGGGCTGAAATGATAAATTAGTCAGCATGCAGAACCACTCTGTAGCTGTTCTAAATTCCTGTCCACTTTCTATAGCAAAGGCCCGTGAGCTAGAAACTCCAGTCACACTAGGAAAACATTGATGCATGTGGTATTGGTGCAGTAGGACAGAGGTAGTACAGGGGGAGCTTTGTAATGCCTCTTAGTATAAATTTGATAATAATAAAATTATCTAGGAAACTAAAAACTACTATGTAATGATGTCTTTACTCCATCCACCCGAGCCCCACCACCATGTGGGCACCCAGAATAACACACAGAGTCTTATATTAGTTTACAATGCTGCTGGCCAATTGACTAGGATTTCTTATATGCTATCTGTCTTAATTATCATAAATATATATATTTTATAAGACTTATTTTATATAGGATGCCTTCCATTGGTGTCCTCTTCCCGGGATCATATGGCGGCTCCTTAGGGAAGAGAACCAGAGGAAGAAGAAGAGAAAGAGGGTGATTTCTTGCTTATATTCTGAGTCCGCCTGCTATCCACTTCCTGCCTGGATCTCTACTACATTTCCCAGAATCCTCCTTGACTCCTAGTCCCACCTATCTTGCTTTCCTATTAGCCAACAGTACTTTATCAACCAATAAGACAAGCATATACACAAAAGGACATTCCCCAACACTACTAGAATATGTATTATGTAATAATAATACATTGTTCTCTTCTTGGAGTAATATAATTATCCTAAGAGCTTAGTTTATTTAACTCCTAAAATTAGTCTGCAGAGGCAGTTGTGTGTATCATATTAAAATTCTTTTTTACATCCAGAGAAAGCTAAAAGGCATGATTTGTCAATGATTCCTCTCCTGCTCTTTAAACTGTGCAACAATGCTCTTTCCTACTAACCTCTGACCCTCACATTCAGTTAGAACAGTGCAAGGTGAGAACACTCCTAAAAGTGCTCTTCAAGAATGAAACTGAGAAGATAGTAATTAAGCTCAATTTTGATAATGACTAAGCATATAAATAATTTCTCTTTGGATCTCCATACTTTCAGTTAAGTAAATCTGATACTTATTTGTTTTTTGTTCTTGTTGTTTTGTTTGTTATGGAACCTAGGCCTCATGCATGCAGGGCAAATGCTTTTCCATTCGGCTATATCCCCAGCCCTTGAAAGCTCTTCAGTTCTCAAGTTACATCATTAAGTTTTCAAAAGTGATAATGATGTTCAATGAATTTGTTTGGTTGAATTTATTGCATTGCTTATTGTGGGGGCTGGGAAGAAATAATTCTTCTCTCTACTAAATAACACAGAGAATGACCGCCAGGATCCTTGGTGTCAATTAGCCATGTACTTTATAACAGGTACTAAGATGAGGCCAGTGTCCTGGTTTGATGGTCTGATGTCTATTTAGTAAGAAGCACAGTTACACTATAGATTGCCAAAATGAGTGTGAGTCCTTTTCTGCTTGGGCTATATTGATGGTATAAAATGCCTGTAGTTTGTCTCTGTAAAATTGTCAATATTTTTGTTCCTTGTACTTTTTTTTTTCAGTCAAGAGAATCCATCACTTTAAATGACCTAAAATCAGAAGTATCACCCCGGATTTCGGCAGAGGACTTGATTGATTTGTGTGAGCTCACCGTAACAGGCCACTTCAAGACCCCAACCAAGAAAACAAAGTCTAGTAAGCCAAAGCTCCTGGTGGTCGACATCCGAAACAGTGAGGAGTATCCTTGTCTAGTGCTTTGAAAGGGTGGATTTGCACTATTGTGTCTTCCTTTCCTTATACAGGGTTTGTGGTGGGAGCAGTGAACATTTCTGGGATGCCTCTGGACTTGAATAGCTAAGGAACTCTGAAATTGTGTGCAATGTGCCTTGCACAGTAAGAACTAGACCAAAGTTATAAAAATGTTTTCCAAAAAGTAGGATATGTGCAGGGGTGTGTGTGTGTGTGTGTGTGTGTGTGTGTGTGTGTGTGTGTGTGTGTTTCTCTGATATACATTGTGGTTCTGTATATCATTTGGATTCTTCTTCTAAAAAGCAATGCTGTGGATCAAAGCCAGGGCACTGTCTTAGGAAGCACTCTACTACTAATCTATGTATGTAACCCTACACTTTTTCTTTTAATATGTGTTTTCTTTTTGTGTATATGAGTGTTTAGATTGGAATTTGAGCAAAGACAAAGTATCTCAGAACCAAAGGGACCAGATCTCAACATTGAGTTCCTATTTACTAAAATGGTAAAAACATTGGCTTATAGATAACATGCGCTTAAATAGAATACAATGTTTTTTTAGAAGATTTTACTATTACTATGGTTTACTCTGTGATTTTATTTGGCATTAAGGTATGAACCATTATGAATGTATGAATTTCTGTTTTCATCTTGTCAGAGTGCCATGATGCATACACCAATTATTCCCTAGTATCTAGCTAAATAGTTACCCTACCTTCTTAGAAAAAAAAGGTTGAGGACCAAAGCCGGGACATTGACTATCCTATGATGCTCCCTACCATTGATCTACATATGTAACCCTCATACTTTTATTTCTATCATGGTTCCACTGGAGCTTGAACACAGGACCTTCTGCATGTAAAGCAGACGTGATAACCACTACACTATGGAATCCACACTCATAGTTTTATTTTTAATATTTATTTTCATTTTGTGTGTATGAACATTTTGCACAAATATATGTAAGTGGAATTGAACTTGCAGACACTTGTGAGCTGCCATGTAGGTGCAGGGAACCAAACCTGGGTCTACTGGAAGAGTACCCAATGTTCTTAACTTTTAAGACACTCTCCAGACCCATACTTTTTCTTAACAGACCAATTGCTCCTAAGCCAGAATTTTTCTTTTAACAAAAAGTATATGAAATATAAATGAAGAATTTTAAAAGTTTTTTTTTCCTTTTCTGTAAGCAGTCTTGCATTTTGTTTTTTATTCTTTTATGCATTTTACATACCAACCACAGTTACCCCTCCCACCCCTTCTTCTGCTCCTCCCCCCATACACACACACTAACTGCTTCTCAGAAAGGGTAGGGCCTCCCATGGAAGTCAACAAAGCCTGCTACATTGAGTTAAGGCAGGACCAAGAACA